CCAATCAAATTGTTTATCTCCGCTTACCCTATGCAGAAAATGCTCATCTTCGAACTCCATCAAGACATTGTCGGCATTGACCTAATAAACACCTAAGCCAAGTTTGAACATTCTAGCTCAATTACAGTGAGAGTTATTGTGTTCCAAAAAGTGTGACGGACAGACAGATATACGGACTGGCAAGCAGACAGACGGGCGAACCCATTTTAATAATCCCCTGCTTTCTTCGAAAGGCGTCTGACAATAAAAGATAAATCTTTGATATAGATTTAATTTTACTGAGCCTGATTACATTACGGCGTAGTGATACAAAGTGACGGGTCTACAACCCAGTATAGAAACAAGTCAAATTTCTATATGATGTAAGATATTATTTTTCAGTTCGGGTTTAAGGGTGCAACGTGGAACTATTTTGAAAGTTCGCACGGTTGCGGGCAGCTTTGTTGCCCAAGGTGGAACAATTGGGGATGCAGACACATTTGCCCGTGTTGTTGCTGAAAATACTAATATATACATAAAGCTGATATCATCCGAAGATATAAAAAAGATGGACAACACTAAGTATAAATTTATTAAAACTATTTCAGGTTCGATGAAAATACACCAAGTAGTAGTAAATTCGCCATTTTCGATTTCTTACCGCGATATCAGCTGTTTCTGCAAACATCCGGAAATCTGTTTTTGCTTTGACACAAAACATTGTTTTTTGAAACCAATAAAGAACCAAACATATCAAAAGAAGATTTTTGATATAGATCATTCTTTGTTAAGTAAATGGTGCCTTGTCGTCTACCAAAACAGATTTTATCCCGGTCAAATTATTGATGTAGATGACCAGGAGGTAGAGGTGTCTGTCATGATGAGAATTGGCAAAAACCGATACTTTAAGCAAACATCTGAAGATATTTTATGGTATAAACCAGATCAAGTCATTGCATTGATTGACCCTCCAGCGCATGTTACTGGACGTCATCACCAAATAGACCCGGAGATTTATAAAGTTTTAGCAATCAAATACGACGAATTTCTTTAAAGTAGGCACTTTGAACTTTTCGCTGTATCAAATTTCTCACGGCTTATTTCACACTAATATGTACCCAGATTGATTATGTAACATTTAATTAAGAAATCAAAATACCAACGCTAGATAATGTCCCGGCTTAGATCGGATTTTAAAATGGGCTATCATTTCTGTTCTCCCGCAGCAAAATGAAGGCCGGCTTATTTCATTTTCATTCAACATAATATTTGTAAATACTGAGATCGAGCTTTCATAATATTACAGTTGGCAAGGGATTGGTGTTGCGTTAAAATGACGCATCGGGACTATGTGATTTTTATTGTATGACAATGTTGGCATTTTGATTTGTGTTATATATTAAAGACAATTTAAGATAATTCAGCGTCGATCGTCTTGTTTTTTTATTACTTTGGTCATTGCTTAGAATAGAAATTATTGAATGAATTTGACTCCATTGCCGAATAAATTTATGTTGTTCGTGGGGGCCTTGTAAAAAAACCAAAAAAAAACCCAATCGAAATGTTCAATGAGTATACGCATTTGAAGTTTCCTTGTTATAAAATACAATTTGAACGTCATTGCCGCGAAAAAACATCATTACCGGGAGTCTAGAATAAGACGTTTGTCATCACCGCGAATGACAGTCTCGGGTAGGTTTATTTTAAAGGTAGGAAGTGTGATCAATTAAAACGTACACGTTTGTGTAATTATTGTCACCTTATTCCTGAAAACAACGTTTTGAAATTCCTCTATTTTGAAAATGCAGAAGCTCGTGTTTTTCTTTTGCTTATTCTGATTCTCGTATACACTTTTATTTAAATCTTTCACGTTGTTGTGTACCCTTTTTCGATAGTATGCTCATATTCTTTTCCATTTTGTCCAAGAGTAAAGAAAGATCGCGGTAATGATGAAACTCCCCGAGTAGTAATTACTAATAAGTCAAAAACTCGGAAAAGTTGCGCAAATTAACCGTGCCCACATACACAATTATTCACTCGAAAAATAAATCTGTATAATCAATAACAATCATCAACCATTTTAATATATTTTAATTTTACTTTCTCGCCGTTAAAAGAGAGAGAGAGAGAGAGAGAGAGGTTTAACGTCCACTCGACACAAACTAGGTCATTTCGGGACCAACATATGGTTCAATTTTATTTCCATAATTCGCTTGCGCGTAGGGGCGCCGTCAAAAGGTGAGCGAGTTCATAGAATGGCCCATATACTGACCCGGTGTTTCCTTTAAAGTTACCATTTCATAATTTCTAAGAAAGTCAAAACATAATTATTTCTATGTCTTTTGCTCAATAGGTTGTCAACTCACTATTATACGATCATAGGTGTCATTCTCACACTTAAAACTCATTTACACCGGAAAAAATAAAACAATTACCTCCCTTGGTTTCTATTCTCCACCATGGAGTAGCTATCCTCAAACGTCTGAATTTGAAGAGGAAAATGATATTTTTGCCAATTTCTCAACTGGCAATAGTGAATTATAGGATTAATAGGATAATTCTTTAACAAGGTAGGACTGTTTAAAGATACCATCTATTTTAAGGCTTTATTTTAATAAATTTTAAAAATATAACATAAAAATATGAAATTGCAACTTTAAGGTTATGGGAAGTATTGTAATTGTTTATCGTAATTGAAAATTTTTCACCAACAGTATTACTGGATCCAAAAACTAACCTACATTGTAGTTAAAGCTCGTCAGTCCTTATTTTAATGTAAATATAAATTGGGCCATTATAATGTCGGATGTTTCATAATGTTTAACGTCCATTCGACACATACTAGGTCATTTCGGGACTAACATAATGGTCCAATTCTACTTTAATAAGTCGCGTGCGTGTAGAAGGTCTTTAGCAGTGGGAGGAAACCGGAGAAAACCCACGAGGTTGGATAGGCGACCTTACTCCTTGCCATATACAAGCGAAAAATCGAAACCACACCATTTGACTCTATGGCAGACCTTTTAATCCAGCGCGCACGCGTTAACCATCCCACCACCTAATCTCAGATCAACATAGGTCTATGTGAACTTTATTTCTAAATTCATGATTTCCGGTGTTAAACAGTTTCAATGTTAATTTCCGCCGTGCATTTATTTTTAACGCGAAACAAACGACCACGTAAACTAATCTTCCTGTATTTAGCGCTCTATTTATTTTTTAATCAGTCTAATATCACAAAAGACAAACTGAAAAAAATGACAACCTTTCAGTTATCACAACTGGATCAGTTATACTTCAACAAAACCTTTGTGTGGAAATCTCGTTCTGTTTCTATATTTGGCCAATTTAATAGGAACTTAATATGACAACATAATTATGAGCATTCTTTTTTTGTCGATGTAGAATATGACAGTTACAATTTTAATTTGATTCTTTCTTCAATAAAACCGATCTCAGGGGTCTTTTCAAACAAAAAAAAGTTGACGAAAGAGGAGTTCATGAAGACATAGTTGTTGGTGGGCGTATTCATATTTTATTGGCAATATTTTATCAGATTCTTTGAATTACGACATCCTCGTAATATTTGGCTCATATATATCAAATTGATCTAATCTAAGTATAAGGGATTAAGTAGAGAAAAGAAGAAAAGACTGCGTTTGGTTATTACATCAGATCCTTTGATTGAGATTGTGACATTGCGAACTTCGTTTCGTAATATACTAATATTCAATCTCGTTTTGACCAATCTAAGTATATGGAACTACCCATTTTTATCCTGAGTAAAAGAAGAAAGTAAAAGTCGTTTTTATTATCACACCAGATCCATTGTGATTGAGATTGTCGTTGAGTGATCACAGTTAATGTCGTTTCATAAATTTAGGTTGGCTTATCTAAGAATAAAAGATGTAGCTGACATTTTTCCCCCCTAAATCAAAGAAAAGACCACGCTTTCCATTACATCAGATCCATTGAGATAGTGACAGTGGCTTATCTATGGTCAAAAGTGGTAACTGGTGTAAACTAAACCAGACATATTAATCTTTGTAATAAATGGTTCATTCAACACTTATATTAAACGTTGATACCCACTGATATACATTGTAACACCCCAAAAACCTATCAAATATACTCATTTGAAAACAACTAGTATTGTTTCACACTTGAGTTGTCAAATGGGATTACTTGAAACAAAGTTGAAATATCCAGACAAATCGTTGCTTTAACGAGACATAACGGTATAATAACAATGGCCAAAGGAATATGATTTGCATTTGTTTTATAGAATGTTTCTATCGTGGCTTTAAATGTGGCTAAAAAAACAATTCGCATTTGACATGGACAAAATCCAATGTTTGGGGACAGATCTTACTTTGTTTTTAAAAAAAGGAGAGAGAGAGAGAGAGAGAGAGAGAGAGAGAGAGGGGGGGGGGGGGTAACGTCCACTCGATACAAACTAGGCCATTTCGTGACGAACATATGGCTCAACTTTATTTCAATAATTTGTTTGTGCGTAGGGGTCTTTAGCAGTTGGAGGAAACGGGAGGACCCGGAGAAAACCCACGAGGTTGGACAGGCGCCCCTACTCCTTGTTACGTACCACCGGGAAATCGAAGCCACGCTAGTTGACCCAATGACAGACTTTATGATACAGCGCGCTCATGCTAACCATTTGGCCTCCCAACCTCCCTTTTAAAAAAGGAAAACGAAACCCTGCCTAAATGGATAAACATGTACGTCACCTGTTCTCAATGCATGTACCCATCTAAAAAAAAAGGGGGGGGGGAAATATTAACCATATTGCTTGCAATGCTTTTGGGTGCGTCTTGTCCGCAGGTTTGTCTTATGAGTGCGTGTTGCAGTTCTCCTGCACTTACTATTTTAAGTTAAGGCCGTAATATCGTGAGGTACCTGGCGGCCTTAACCTTTTCATGATGTTATGTAATTGAACTTTGAATAGAATGGTATACACATGGATCAATGACTCCAAACAATTAAGAATATTACATAAAAATGCTTACCTCTTCTTCACCATAGGTGAAATTAGGATATAGCTCTTTGGCTTTTCTTTTTACTTCCTCTGAAAATATCTTGTACTCCGGGGACGTTGGCTTTCGTAATGTCACCGTCATTAATGATTCGTACGATTTTCGAGCAGCTTCATTTCTCTCTTGTGAGTCGTCAGCTCTGTACCAAGGAGTCTGGCTTTCATTTTTACTGAAAATACGAATCAAATACAGAAATAAGAAACTCAATTCCAAAATCAGCGAAACATCAACAGTGATGATAGATTATATAGATTCATGAGGAAAAAGACGGTAGAAAACAATAAGTAAAGTTTGAACTACTGTAAAATATGCATGGCTAGTCACAATCTAGAATTAGAATATAATTTCGTTTTCTTTATGTTTTTTTTCTGATTTTTACACTAGACTGAAATCTAACCAACTTTATATGGACACAGGACACCATTAATTCCCGTGCTGGTTACGAATCTAGCGCAGAAGTTATATTTAATCTTTCTCTTCCTTCCCCCCTTTTGCATAGATATTTTTGTTGACTTTTTGGTGTAGAATCGAAGAAAGTGTTTGAATATAATATATTTTCTGTCAGCTTTTGGTGAATATTCATGATTTTGTGGCGGAAGGTAAGAAGATAGTTAAGAGGTTGCAATCTAAGGAAGAAAGCGTTATTCCACTAACAATTGGGGAATTGTTAGAGTCGGTCAGAGAGATGAGAACTAACATTGGAGTCAATGGGGAAATTAATTGTATAGGCCTATTGTTGCCTATATCGTCAACGGGTTCTGCCAAAAAGATTTCTGTTTATGTTAAACAGCCGTATAGCAAATGATAATAACGACACAGAACCAATATCATTAAACAAGTAACTTGTTAATACACATTCTGACAATTGCAATTTTAATCTGATTCTTTCTTTAAACCAGATAGCTCTATATAATGGTATGTGTAGAAGTTGCCGAACCGACAACATAATACGCCCACAATGAAATGTTGGCGTACCAAAATAAATAAGAATAAAATTTAATTGACGTCTGATTTTAATTCAATCTGATCAAAATACAGATCTATATTTCGTTCCGTTTTTTTATGCTTTCGATGCCACATGTTGCTTTTCACGTTAATGTCTACACGAGACCTCGTTTCGTCTATTGACGAGCACGTCAAAGAAACACTGGCAGTTGGAATTCGTGAAAGAGTAGGCGGAAACGCCGCTGTCCGGGAAAAATTTCCCTTGAATGGCAGATTATCATCGCCATTATCCCAGTAGCTCAGAAAAGTGTGACGTAAACCCTATAACTTTCATGTTGTATATCTATTACATTGGACATGTACGTTCTTTTTAAAGTAACCTACTTCTCTGTTCGGATTCAGTAATATGTTGTATAGAGAGTTAAGAGATCGCCCATTGAAGACGAAAACACAAAATGGAGTCGATATCTACAGCTATTTAGCGAATCTTCATCATATCAAGCTTTTGTAATGATTGCTCTCACTGACACAACCATCTTTATGATTAAAATGAAATAAGTCGACTTCAATGGAAAAAAAATATGTGTAAATAAGTCTTCAGACTGTTAAAAGATGCGTGGCAATGTTTGAATGAAAATTAATGAGACGAACATTCAGCTCATTTTGAGATGGGAAGATTTGATGGAAAAGTAGTCCCCGGGGTTTATTTATCATTATTTTAGATTAATACAGTGAACTAGGTACTGATTAACTGGGAGATGACAACAGCAGATGCCATTTTCTTTGATCAGAGTTAATGATCGATACGAACCTTTGACCTTTAACATTTTTATCACTCATACCTATATGATATTTAATGGAGGATCAAAACATTTATATTTTGTTCATGCACAACTAATTAGTTAAGTTCCTTACATTAACGTGTGTTAACATATCATTAATTTCAATATGTAGAATAATTATAGGGCATAAAGTGCCAAATTCTTAATAGCTGCCTCAGTACTCTTTCAAAATGTTATACAATCTTGATGCATTTAACAGATCCACCTTGTACACCAACGATAAAAATAGTTTGCATAATTGTGGCTGTGTAGTTCTATTTGATGTTAGAAACTTATGTGATTCGTCTGCCTATTGAGAATATATTAAGCATCTTTAAGATGCTCATGGCTTAAAGATTATATATTATAATAAGCTTTGCAACATTATTGCCATCGAAGACCAACTCCACTCATTAACGTTAGATTGCTCAATGGTAAGAGATTTAAGAGTAAGATATTTACCTTATGACCTATACAAATAAACATCCTGGGATCATGTGAGCAGATATAGCAATTTATATTTTAAAAAATATCACGTCCCTACAGAACCGAATTGTTAACCTTGTATGAAATCAATTTAAATCCAGATACGCTCCCGCCTTTTTTTTAAGCCCAGATGGAGTAGAACAGTAGGACACGGGAAAAACCCACATATCTTCTTGTTTGTTAGGAGGGTTGGATGACCGAATGGTTAGGACGTGCGTGCTGTATCATAAGGCCTGTCATTGCGTCAACTGGCGTGGTTTAGAATCCCCGGTTGTACATGACAAGGAATAGGGTCGCCTGTCCAACCTCGTGGGTTTTCTCCGGGTCCCCCGGTTTCCTCCCACTGCTAAAGACCCCTACGCGCAAGCGAATTATTGAAATAAAAAATATGTTAGTCCCGAAATGACCTAGTTTGTGACGTTAAACCCCATTTCTCTCTCTCTCTCTCTCTCTCTTCTTGTATGTTTTTCTTATTACAAACACACAGTATTTGATTCAGTAGACATCTGAATTTGCATTGGAGAACAGGCTATACCTATGTGTACGCCTATGAACAGAATATACACAATATATATATATATATATTATTACATAAATATAGAACATATGGGATATATAAAATGGATAATATTGAGACATTTTTATAAATATTTGAAAGGCTGGAATTTATTGAGAATGTAGCGACTGGTTTCGGTTGTTGTGATACCTTCTAATGTACGTACTTAATTATTGGTTTACGTCGTTCGGGTAATTCGAATAATTGTTCGGATAATTTAATTTTTAATCGGAATGACGACTGCTGTCAAAATATATCACACATTGAACGGGATAATAGTTAACACATCTTCCGTCTTCATTAGCCCAGCTAGGAGCAGAACAAATAAAATTAAAAACCCATGTTGACAAAACTACTTAAAACGACTGAGAATCAGACATCTTATAACTGACAAGACGAGCAGAACTGTAAAGTCAAAGAGTGTTACTGACTTTACTTAATTTACCCTCCACGAATACTTATAGGCAAGACACTTGTAACTTAGAGCTATGTAGCCCAACAGTCGGTGAGATATATATAGCTTATGGCGAATTCGCCTCGCAGCTTGTTCCCAACACACCGATCGAAGTCCTATTATTTATATTATGTGGAGTATCAAGGTGTCAAATTCATTAGATCGGATGTGTTAAGTAGGTAATTTGTGACCGTAAAGTCCACCAATAACAACAGGTGTCCCGTTTTACCATTTGGCTTACGACGGATTGAGTAAAACTACGAAACCCACGATTTCTATTCGGCTAACTATATACACAAGGACAATGTTTCATTTTACTATTCGAAATAATTAATCTCATGTAATCGAATAGAAATTACACCAAAAACAATATAATAGACCGACTTAACGAAGTACAATTTGTATTACATGTATGTTACTTCCAGCAGGTTTTAAGGCAGATGTTTCAAACACAGATAACTTCAAGGGTAAATTAGCCGTATTAATAAATTTTAAAAGTATGATGTAATTTTAATGTCTTACTTCCTACATATTTTAACGCTAAAAATGATCTGGCCTACATTTTTCATCTATGCACCCCTTTATACATTACGCGTCTTATTAAATGTCTGGTCTGAATATTGAGAAGGTCATCGGTGATATTCCCGGAACCATTGGCTGCACTCTGCTTCTACGCACAATTGAAATTTCGACAGCACAGCTGATTGCTTAAAGTGTGCACTTTTCTTCTGCTTTTCAGCAAGCGAAAAAACAAAATCACCAGTGTGCGTCAGGCTTTTAATATAGACTTGACTAAAAAGGTTTGCTCAAATGATGATACACGTCTTCTATCAAATGGAATGCTTATATAACTCTTAGTGTTTGCAAATAGAACATATAACGTGTGACGTGATTTGGACGCCACGTATTCGTAAAACCCTAAACGCACGAGTCCAACGTAGCATTAACACGTTAAACATTTTGAAATATCGAAGATATAATGCATCACATGTTTGGACCACATATGCTGAAATCCCCCTAACGTTTTAATGGAAGTTGTCAAAATTCAAATTATTTCCATATTAGGCATATAAAACCATTAAGCTTACAATCGTAAATGTTCATATTTATGTAGTTTTATTTCTTCCGTTAACCAGTATTTTATTTTCGTTTGTTAATTACAAGGTAAACAGTGAGTTAAAGGCTTGAAGGCCGAGGTCACAATGAAAACTCACAATAATTATTTATGTATTAAAGTAAATTTTAGCCAACGAAACATCGGAAACATAACTGTAACGTGGCAACCATTTTCCCCAAGCAAATGACTTCTAAGGTCAGAAGACTAAACTGAAAAATAGGCATGTATGATAACTTAGAACGTTTAGCCTGACCCGGAACACAGTGCTATTTCTTCAGAAACACTCAAACTCAGTAAACGAACACTTTTACAATCCCATATACTTGGTTATTTCGGGATTAATTATATGTCCTTTAGCAGTGGGAGGAGAGGGAAATGGACTTGAGCGTCCACTCGACACAAACTATGTCATTTTCGGACAAACATGCAGTGAGAGGAATCGTGAGGGGGGGGGGGCAGGGATAACCCACGAGGTGTTAGACCACTCGACTACCCATCCTCACAGGAAACATAAGGGAATATATTGTTAAAATGGGAAGTATAGCCAGTGGTCGCAGTCGCCAAATTATTTTAAAATATGTTCTGGACTGGTTAGTTCTGCGTGAAAACAAAATCAAGTATCATCAAACCTATCAAAGTTTATAAAAACAAATAGACAAATTAGTATACTAGTACGTGTACATAACAAAGGAAATGTGACAAAGCAATTGGCGTTCCGATAACAAAGTAATATCGGGTGAACGATTCTTAGAAGCTCTTTGATAATTTTCGAAGAAATGCAAACCGTCAG